TGGTAATCCTCCTGCTTTCAGTTTCCCCAGTGCTGGGATTACTGTTGCCCACCGTGGGGGCAGATCTGGTGTGGCATGTGGTGCCAGGGACCGAACTGCAGTCCCTGTGCTTGCCTAAGCAGGCACTTTAGTCCCCTGAGCTGTCTCCCTGGGCACCCTCCCACCCATTGAAGGTTTTAAACAAGGCAATTAAGTGATGGCACTTGCATCTCTCAAAAATGCCTTTGGCAGCAAGGATTCCTGGAGAGATGAGAAGACAGTTTAAGAAGGTCCTTAAACAATATGTATCCAGGGTCAGCATGGTGGTACTTGGTGTACAGTCATACCATTCTTAGAGTCTTAAGGCAGGAGGATTGCCAACTTGAGTCCACGTTGGGGGACTTAGCAAGATTGTCTTTAAATAAAAAGTACAAGGAGGTGTACTGGTGGGCAGAGGCCCAAGGTTTAACCCCTAATCTCCCCCTCCCACCCAATAGATTTATATCATTGCAACAGTGGTAGGCTAATAGAGATAGAAAAGAGGGGACAGGATAGTAAGAGGTAGAGTGGACAAGATGGATGGGGTATGGTGTGAGAAAGAAGAGGGGTGGAAAGAGAGTTCCTGATTTTTAGGTTCAAGTACTGAACTGGTGGTGCCAGCTTCTAAAGTTGAGAAACAACTTTGCAGACGACAGCATGTTGTTTAAAGTTTGTTTTCTACCTGGTGAGTTTGGGAGAGAGTTGAACTGCAGAGTTAGATAACAGTTATCTATATGCAGGTCATACAGTTGCAGGCACGGATGGTGATATAAATAAAAGGGCAAGTGTGTATTAAAACTAAATGCAAAAAGAACATATAAGAATGGCATTTCACTAATTTTTCATGAGAAGATACTTTTTTATAGTGAGTAATTTGTTTTTCAGGCATTTCTTTGCCTCTGTCAAAAAGGGACTTAATAACATTATGAAACACTTAATTAGTGTAGACCAGGGTATACATTTGAAGAATATAATATCCAGGCCCAACAATAACACTATTTCTGTCCTTATGAAGCTTCCTCATTACTTTCCCACAACAGAACTCATTAATATCTGGATAAATTCACTTTACATTCATTTTTATATTATTATCTTCAGTAATTACATATAATCACCTTCAGTGTCATTTTCTTGAATGTAATTTTTATACTTTTGAAGCTATCTTTGCATTTCCTGTTCTTAATATTTAGTAGTATATTAATAAATAAAGACCCCAGTTAGTCTTGTGTAGCCCAGGTTCAAACCATCTATTAAGGTTGGTCTAAAAGCCATCTGCTATTATTGATTTAAATTCATTTTGTTTTTGATATAGTTTTTCTTAAAATTCTCAGAATTCTTAGTTTTATTTGTTGTAGTCATTCCCTTAAGTAATAATCAAGGATAATTATTATAGTCCTATGTTTTAAAATAAATGCTAACTACAAATAAGTATGTAAATATTAGCTTCTGAAGGTGGAACTATGTAGAGGACTTAAGTATGTACTTAATACTTTATTTGCAAAACTAAGGTAGATTTAAAGTGTTAAATGATGTAGAAATAATAAATTAATTCAAGTTACTGCATGTATACTGTTCAGCAAAATTTAAAAGTAAAAGGTAAGTTGAGTATGGTGGCCCATACCTGTCAGGAGGATCACAGGTTCAGTGCTGGACTGGGCAACTTACTGAGACCTTTTCTCAAAATAAATAGGGCTGGAATGTGGCTTATTGGTGGAAAGCTTGCCTAGTATGTTCAAGGGCTTGGGTTCTTGTAACTGTTCCTGTTACCACAAAAGGAACACAAAAGCCCTAAGAAGCAGCGTCATAAATCGCTATACTCCACTTTTTACTAGTACTTAATTTGGACAGTATTTTTTCTCTTTTTGTGGCTATTGTTGGTTTAGGTTGTGGGATTAATTGTTTGCTTTTTTGGAAATGGTAAATTTAGGTATATAGCTACTTAAAATTGCTGTGATAAGGTATTTTATGTGTATTACCACATTTAAACTGAAAATTCTATAAAGGCTGTTGGAAATGAAAAAAATAAATGCACAAGTGCAGAATAAATAATTTGCACAAGTCCCCAGACTGGTACTTAGTGGAGCCAGATATCCACCCCAGGCAGCCAGACTCTGGGATCCTGTGCTCTTTCCCATGTCTGTATTCAGTCAGGTGCATTCTTCCAACAGATCAAAAAATTGCCCTGTTAGGTGCCAGATTTTGTTCCAAGAATTCAGAATACAGTGGAGAAGTAAGCCACCAGATTAGTCAGTCTCATGAAGCTAAATTCCTAGCAAGGGAGATAGAGATTTCTAATTAGTTTGCTTCTGTGTGTTAGTTATAAGAATTTGTTTGCTTATTTTGCTTTTTTGTGACAGAGTCTCACTATGTAGTGCAGGTTATCCTTGAACTCACTGTGTAGTCCAGGCTTCTGGTGATGTTCTTATAGGCATGTGCCATTATTCCTGAGTCCTAGAGTATGTTTTAAAAATCCACTTTCTGTGAGTTTTCCTGCATGATAAGGCCTATTTGTACAATTTGTCATTTTATTGTATTTATGGTAGGATTCCATCAGTATTTGATATGGCGCACTATTTGGCCTTCATGATTAAATAATTGTATCATATGTTCTTAAAACTTATTTCACAATTCTTGTCACATAAGCCCTGGAAGAGGTGGAAACCTGTATATATTATGAGTTTGTGCTATCCAAATTGTTACTATTGATACCTCAGATTATTGTACCAAAGTAGGCTTTTTAAAGGTTGTTTTTCCCTTTTAACTTTTGATAGTCTGCTTTCTGAAGGAGATGATCCAGAGTGGTTTTTGGTCCTTAGATATATGTAACTTTTGGAAGAAAATTTTACTGACACATTTTTGTGCATTGTTATTTAATGTCAAGGTCTCGCCATTTCCTGTAGCTGCCTTGTGAATTAGATAGTGTTTTAATGTAGCACAGATTCATTTCTTTCTGGGCTGTGTGAGACACATTGCTCTGGGAACACATTTGCATCATTGTCTTGGAAAATAAACTTTCAAACTATAAATATATAATATGCATAATACTGTGTAATATCAGAGCAAGTAGAGTTTTCATTTCTCTTATAGCAGTTTACTCAGGAGCATTAAAACATTACTCATACTATATTGTTTTTAAAATCATCTCTAAAATGTATGATCGAAAGGAAACCTATCTTGAAAATTGTAGCCGTAATACCTGCAGTGACTAAATCTGTGTTAAACTTCATTGCTTATTTTTCTATCAATTCTGGTCGGAAACATCTGCAAACATCCCAAACCAGTTTATCTCTTGAGGTGATTTTAAGCTAATGAGTCTGCCCCCAACACTGACGTCCAAATTGATTGAGAGTACCCCACAAAATTAGAGACTTTGGAGCTGGATAGAATATCAATGGTAGAATATTTGCTGTCCATTCAATCCCTAGAACTACCATGAAACAAAAAATTAGACTTTGTAAGGACTGGACTAGTGGCAGTATCCACCATTTGTGGAAAGTTTTTAGGAGGAAAGTTTATATTGGGCAAATATTATTTTGATAAAAGTTTTTTTTTTAAAGGAAAGTTAATGATTATAAACATCCCAAGTTCAACTTATTTGGAAAAAGTAAGTTGTGTTGGGAGATCACTCAGTTGAGTAAGTGTTTGCCTGGCAAGCACAAGGTCCTGAGGTGGTTTTTTTTTTTGTTTTTTTTTGTTTTTTTTTTTTTTTTTTTGTGGACCTGGGGATTGAACTCAGACCCTTGTGCTTGCCAAGCAAGAGCTTATTCTACTGAGCTGTCTCCCTGGCCCAATAAATTGTGTTGGGAATGGTGGTGCTCATCTGTAATACCAGTACTTAGAAGGCTGATGCAGGAGATTGCCTTGAGTTCAGTGCTAGCCCAGGCCACATAATGTAGCACTATTTAAAAACATCAAACGTTTATACAGGTAACTGAGTTTTGATTGAAACCAGTTTAAATTCTAAGGATAATAGTCTTGAAAGTTTAAAAAAAAAAAGTTGAAGCCAGATATGGGAGCACAACTATAATTCCAGCACTTGGAAGACTGAGGCAGGAGGACTACTGTGAGTTTGAGACCAGCCTGTGCCACACAGAAAGTTCAAGATCAGCCTGAACTGCATAGTGAGACACTGTCTCAAAACAAAAACAAAATCCAAATAGTAGCCTTACATTTTTAGTGAAAGATTATATATAGTTAGCAAAAAGTATTTGTATGTCGGTTTAGGTAATTTGAGATCAATGATTTAAATATTTTAATGCCTGATTGTTTTTTTATGTTCTCTAAAATGATTCTAAGGGGGGCCGGGGAGATGGCTCAGTGGAATAAGTGCTTCCTTGGCAAGCGCAAGGGCCTGAGTTCAATCCCCGGTTCTGGAAAAATAAATAAATAAAAATAAAATGATTCTAAGATTTGTTTTCTAAAATGTTGTTGGCACTACTTTTTAAATAATACTGTGTGATAGTAAAAGTTTCATAAAGTCACTACTGCTAGGTCTGCATTATCTTCTAAGTACCACATTCATTTAAGCATGGAATGTTTATCAAAGTATAGTTATAAGAGAAATATGTAATCTCTGCATCAATAATTTAATGAATCAAGTATATGAGTAATTATTATGTTAGGTGCTATTGTTATTAAACTGTTTTTAAATGCCTTTTAGGAGGGCCAGGGACATAAGCGCCTCCCTGGCGAGCACAAAATCATGAGTTCGATTCCCAGTATTAAAAAAAAGTCTTTTAGGAGAAATTTTTTTGTCCTTTTAAAATGTGTAGTTTAAACTTTATTGTAAGTAAGCACTTTTTCTTTTCTCTTTTTTTCTTTTGCAGAATAATGAGAAGCAGATGCGACAACTCTCTGTGATCCCACCTATGATGTTTGATGCAGAACAAAGACGGGTCAAGTTCATTAACATGAATGGGCTTATGGAAGACCCTATGAAGGTTTATAAAGATAGACAGTTCATGAATGTTTGGACTGACCACGAGAAGGAGATCTTTAAGGACAAGTAAATTAAATTTTAAATTATTGTCTATTATGTAAGTTTGTAAAAGTGTGTGGCATTTACCTGTAAATGGAACTGTTCATTGTCAATTTGCTCCCATTTTGACATTGAAGTGGGTATTATGACAAGTAGAGAATTTTGATTTTCCCATGAATTTATAGGTGGGAAAATAGGAAAGAGGAATTGGAGATACAGAGTTGTTTATGACAGGTTTCCAAGTTTGGAAGCTGTGGACATCACTTTGGGAGTGTTTTGCTTTTTTCTAACAGCATTGGGGATTAAACCCAGGGCTATATCCCAAACCCTTTTTATTTTTTTATTGTGAGCCATGGTTTCACTAATTTGCCCATACTGGAACTAAACTGATCCTCCTGCCTCAGCCTTCCGCTAGGCAGGGATTATAGGCTTGCAGCACCACACTTGACTTGGGTAGCCTTTTTTTTTTTTTTTTTAAATCTTTTATTTACTTTCCTATTTGGTACAGAGTCTTGCTATGTAGCCCGGACTCGTAATGATCCTCCTGTCTCACCCTTCCCAACACTGGGATTATAGGCATGTGCCACCATGCCCAGTTTCAGTGGCCAGCATGGCATGTGGTACCGGGGCTTGAACCTGGGTCCTTGTGCTTGTCAGGCAGGCATTTAGACCACCGAGCTATCTCCCCAGCCCGGGGAGGTTTTTTAAAATACATATTTCTCTGCCTTACCAGAGATCCATCTAATCAATGTCTAATAGATGGTTCCAAGGACTCTACCCTTTAAAAATCTCTTCAGGACTCTGCAGTTGTTACTCTAATTGATAGAAAGGAATCGCTGGAAGTTAGACTACATAATATTTCTTGTTCTCAGTTTTTCTTTTTAATTTATTAAAATGTTTCTGCATGCAATTTTTATTGTTGTTGTTGTTTTACTTAGGTTTATCCAGCATCCTAAAAACTTTGGATTAATTGCATCATACTTGGAAAGAAAGGTAAGAAATGGTTTTCACTGAGAATATTTGCAGATTTGTAATGTGTTACTCCAAAATTTTTGTGCTCTTAATGAGCAATAACAGTTAAGTAGAACCAATTTTGCACAGGATTTGGCACAGAAAAGATTCTCAAGTAATTATTATAATGATAAATTCTATATGAAACAATAATTAAAATCATATTAGAAATACTTAGCATAAAACTAATTTTCAAAGTTAGTGATAAACATCTTATATTTTTCTTTTTAATTTTTTATTTGTGTGTGTGTGTGTGTGTGGCCTGCTTAGCCCACCAGGGGTTGGGGCTGGCTGGCATGTGGTGCTGGGGGATTGAACCGTGGTCCCTTTGCTTTGCTAAGCTTGTTCTAAGTAGGTGCTTTAGACCACTGAGCCATCTCACCAGCCCCATATTTTTCTAGGAATTTTTTTTTTTTTTTTTTTTTGTGTTTTGCTCCTTGAATGCCTTCAGGGCACTTTTGCATGGCTGGAGTGTTGTGGGGATCGAACTACAGCAAACTGAGGCTGCCAGCATTGTGGAAGCAGCCACTTAAAGAACTGAGCTAGGGCTGGGCCCCCCAGCCCCATATTTTTCTAATATTACATATCTTATAGTGCTTTTTAAAATTTATTAAATTTCTTTTTTGTTTTGTCTTTGTCTTTTGAGACAGTTCAGGATAGCTTCAAACTCACTGGGATCCTCCTGTCTCAGCCTCCTAAGTGCTGGGATTATAGGTGTGTGCCAGCATGCCCAGCCATTAAATTTCTAATTAAAATCTTGTAGTAGTGATTTCTACAGAATTGTTTTCATAGTGAATTGGCTTTACTGTTTTTAAAGGCCTTTTTGAAGCTCTTGTCTTACTGTATTCCAGGCTGGCCTAGAACTCCAGGTAACTCTCCTGCCCCAGCTTCCTGGGAGCTGGGATTATAGGAGCTGAGATTTTAGACATGTGATGTACCACCTGGCTATCTTTAGTGGTTTTAAACAAAATATTTAAAGAGACTTTTGATGGGAAGATAGCTCAGTTGAATAAGTGCTTACCTGGCAAGTGCAAGGTCCTGAGTTAATCCCTGGTACCACCAAAATAAAAAAATAAAGGACTTTTTGAATACTTACCTATATGAGGCTTGAAACAGTCTACTTATAAATTAATAATAAAATCTTTGAGTGGTTTTGGTAGTTCTTGGTATCTTTAAAATAACTTGGATTAAGATAACTGTCTGTGTAGTTACTATGTGTATTTTTAGATCCCACACATGGCCTTAAAATACTATCCTTATAATGTTCCTTTTTAATTTATATTTGGGAATAATAGGAATTTGACTTAAAAGTATTTTATTTAAATTTTAAAAAATTTTATCAAATTATCAGAAATGAAATTTTTCCTTTACAGAGTGTTCCTGACTGTGTTTTATATTACTATTTAACCAAGAAAAATGAGAATTATAAAGCCCTAGTCAGAAGGAATTATGGAAAACGCAGAGGCAGAAACCAGGTGTGTTTCATGACTGAATGGGTGATGTTAATAAAATAACAAGACAAAAAATATTACAACAGGAGCCTTTAACGCAGTGTATATTTTAGAGGTTACCATCTATCAGGAGATTATAAATATAATTATTTTGAAATCTTTTATAATTTTTATATATTTTATTATTTGTGTGATAAAAATTAATTTGCAAAGTTTTCTATTTTCCTGTTATCCAAATCTGTATTTCAACATCAATAATAATCATGTAATTAAGTATGAGACTCATTTCACCTTACCTAATACAGTATCTTGAAGCAGTTCTTTTGTCTCAGCAGGGGACAGGTACAGTAAGAGAGAGAAAGATAGCTAGGTAACTGAAGTAGGTGATTCTTTACTGAAATGCATGAAACCTGATCTTGTTTCATATTAACTTTATTTGGGAGAGTTTAACCCTTAAACAGTTTACCTAAAAGGGCAGCATTTCACAGTTAATGTTTTCACAATTGCGACTCACTGCTTTCAAAACTTTGGTCCCCAGAATAATCTGTCAGCACTTATTACAACTCAGGTATGTATTTCCAGTGGGGCTGCTACATTGGTACCTTTGCCCAATGCTGTCCTCACCCAGATATATAATGCAGTGTGGACTTTCACATTGCTGCCTGTTAGCATTCCTCATTGTCTTCTGGCTTCCTGTCCAGCTCCCTCTTCAGTATGGTAGCATCTTAGTGTTTTTCTTCCCTTGCAGGGCCTGGTCAACAGATAGCTTTTTTTTTTTTTTTTAACTTAGTTCTCTAACTATTGAGTCATAACTTTGGTTTCTGGGTTTCTCCTGCAGAATAGTACCATCTTAAAAGATGTGTTTACATATTCTTTGGAAACAGTATTTCTTGCTTTAAAAAAGTATAGGTAGTATGAGTTAGCTGTGTGACATGCTGATAGAGGGAGAATAAGCTGAAACCCTTAGACATGCATCGTAGTGGCTTGGTTAGAGGGCTACAAATACCATTATACTGAGTTGAAAAAGATTATTAGAAGGTGAGGAAATGGCCATACTATAGGAGTACTCACTGTAAAAATTTAAAAGCAAGTAGTAAAATGGCTTGTTAGGGCTAATAAGGATCAGAACAGAGAGAAAAGCCCCTGCTTGGACTCTGAATAACACCTCAGGGACAGAGACATACATGATTGTGGAACTCCATAAAGACATACTGGCTGAAGAGGAGCATTGACAATGAGACAGAAAATACTGTTCTACCAGATATGGAAGTATTGTCAGGGCTTTTTTGTTTTTTAGACAGGGTTTTACTATGCAATTCAGGCTGCTCTTGAGCTCACTTTATATCCCAGTCTGGCCTCAAACTCATAGCAACCCTCTTGCCTCAGCCCCCTGATTATAGACTTGCATCACCACACATACAGCCTGGGCTGATTTTTAAGAAATGACCCCTAGTTACATTGTAAATGATTAACATTTAATCATTTCAAAATTTAGATTAGTATTATAATTTTTTATCACAATTGAGAAGCTGTTCCTGTTACCTTTGTGTCTTACAAATGATTTATTCTAGCAGCAAATAGCCCGTCCCTCACAAGAAGAAAAAGTAGAAGAAAAGGAAGAAGATAAAGCAGAAAAGACAGATAAAAAAGAAGAGGAAAAGAAAGATGAAGAAGAAAAGGATGAGAAGGAGGACTCTAAGTGAGTTAAATAATTGGACTTAAATAAGTCAGATGTGGGGGCCAGGGAGATGGCTCAGTAGAATAAGTGCTTCCTTGGCAAGTGCAAGGGCCTGAGCTCAATGCCCGATTCTGCCAGAAAAAAAAAAAAAGTCAAATATTATAGTTAGGTTAAATAATAGAGCTGAATGTTTCAAACATGAAATATTAAATAAAGGAACCAATGGGGCATGCATTTTTGCCTTCTAATAGTTATTTAGTGTGATTAAGAAATGGAGTATTCTAGTAGATGTAGTTTTTTGTTTAATTTTAAAATTTTCTAGTCATGAATTACTACTTTTAGACAGATAGGCTACAGTAATAGGTACTCAACATCAGGTTATATTTTAAACTTTGATCTTTGATGTCAAAGATTTCCCTGGCTCCTTTTCAGCCAGAGATGGTATACATCTGAGAGTATGAAAAATGCTAAGAAAAGACTAATTTTCTCTGATACATTTCAGGTTTTTGGGTTGTTTTTTTTTTAACGTTATCATATACAATAGAGTTCCTGATTTTCTTTTTTGCTGATGTTGCTGTTTTCCTGGTTATGAAACTATTTTTTGCAAACCAGAAAAAGATCGCAATATAATGAAAACTGTCCTATTATTTTGTCAGTCAGAGACAGTCATGTTGAAGCTTTGTGCACATCTAGGGGCAGAGTGGCGTGGAGGCCTCATTAACTGACAGGTGTCCTCCCCGCCCTGCCTTCCTTGCCTTAGGGTTAAACCCAGTGTTTTCTCTGAGCTACATTTTGAAGCTCTTTTAAAAAAATTTTTTTTGTTTGTTTGTTTGTTTATTGCTTGAGAGAGGGTCTTGCCATATAGCTCAGGCTGGCCTTGAACTCACTATGCAGCCCAGATTGGCCACAAATTTGTACCAACCCTCATGCCGCAGCCTCTGAGTGCTGGGATTACTGGTGTGGTGCCCAGCTTCTCAAGGTTTTATTTTGAGCCAGGCTATACTAAATTGCCTAGTCTGGGCTTGAATTTGAGTCTTGTGTCTTACCTTCCCAGGGCACTGGGACTATAGGTATGCACCCCCACACTTAGTGTAAATGTGTTTGAGATTCATTCAGGTTGTCACATTTATGTAGAATTTGTTCTTTTAAAATACTTACTGAAAGGGCTGGCCAAATAGCTCCGCAGATTAAAGCGCCTGCAAGCAGGCACGGGCTGGTTGGTCCATCCCCGGGCCTGCCATGCTGGTCCCGCTCCGAGGGTGCACTGAGAAGGCGATTGAAACTGGGCATGGTGGCACACGCCTGTAATCCCAGCACTTGGGAGGCTGTGAACAGACGGATCACTACGAGTCAGATCTAGAAGTGAGACCCTGAACACCCTGTAGACCCTTCCCTAAAATACAAAAAAAAAACAAAAAAAGATAAACTACTTATTGTGTTGTTAATATTTACAGATTATTGTAAGCAACTCAAGTTGCCTAAGTCACTTGACATAGTTTTAAGGGAATAAAATATTCATGTTTTTCTAGTTTTGTACTTTAAGGGAATAAAGCTATTTTTCTTTTTTAATGTAAGGTAAACATTTGTTGTGCCACATAAGCAATGACTCTCCTTATGTGAACCTGCTGTATCTTCCCCCTTTCTAAAAAGACTATTTTTATTTTTTTTTTTCTTAAAATCCCTAAATTATTTAACAAGTGTTATTACTTGAGTGAGATACATTCTAGGGAGGAAGGAAAAAATACATGAGGTATATGTTATTCCTCGGTAGCATATGAACTTACAGGGGAAAATTAGGCAAAGAGTATTATTTTTTTATAAATTTAGAAATAAGAAATGAGTAGAACTATGTGTTTGATGATTGAGAATGGTTGAGGTTACCTCTGTTGGACAGGTGACTATACTATAATAGAGCTCATGATCAATAGGTACAGTAGAAAGAGTAACATGAATAGCGATGGTGTGTTAAGATAATGTTCTAATCAGACTGGAGCACAGTGTGCCTGAAGAAGAGAAGTACAAGGTGAGCTGAGGGAGGAAGGTTGACACCCTTCTTCTAGGCCATGCCTCCAATGGCCTAACTCTTCCTACTAGACTTTTAACTCCCAACTCACTTTAGCTATAGCCTCCTCACTGGACTAACCCACTGCTGAATATCACTCCCCTGTGATCCAGTATCCCCCCAGAAGCCGCATCTATGAGTATATGTGGCTTGAAGGGGGTTAAGGGGGGGCATGTAGATATTTATAAATTGTATCAGGGAGAAAGTTAAAGATGATGTCAGATCTCTAAACCCAAGTGTTTATGAATCTGTTGGACTTAATAAGACAATGAAGTGAAGCAAGAAGCAGAATGGTGAGGGTGAGCATGTTTTTACATATATTGAGTTTATATAGATGGAAAATTCAGGTGGCTATTCTAGTACCTGGTTGGGAAGACAAATCTGGATCTTAGGAAAGGTTTTGGATTTATTTTTTTACAGTTATTTTTCTTAGTACGTATATGCAGTTCAGAATGATTGCATTCTTTTTAGAGAGTTGGTACATGTATATGTAATACACTTAATTATTTTTTCATTCCTTAAGAAGTAGCGTCCAAAGGCAGATCAGGTGTCATCTGGTAGAACTGTTGTGTGAGTAACTCACAGAGCTCCAAGGCCTCCAAGTAGAAATTCCTGAAGAGATTCCTTTTTGAAGGATGAAAAGTTATCAACAGGAATATTTCAAAAGCTAAGCAGAAAACAGTATATAAGGAAGAATTAGCCACAGTGTAGCAAAAAAATTTAATACAATATGAATTAATAAATATAATTTGATTTTTTTCCAGTTTGTAAGTTATTGGTAACTTTTGATAAACTCTTTTTTACTATACTGTTGATCAAATTGACAAAATACCTTTAACAAGAGGCTATAAGATAGAAGCCAGTGCAGATGGATTAAAGAAGTAAAGCAGAAGGAACATATTGTGCTTTTAATTTAGGACAGAAGGGGAAGGAATCATTCTTAATGTTTTGTGGAAGAATTTATAATTTGGTAAAAGCACAATAGGTCTTTACTGGACTGGGGAGATATCTCAGCAGCATAAAGGCCTTCCCAGTAAGCACAAGGTCCTGAGTTCGATCCCTGGTACAAAAGAAAAGAAAAGAACAGAAAAGAAAGGATGATACAGTAGGTCTTTGCTTAAAGTAGACAAATTTAGAAAATAATCAGCATCTTTAAAAAAATCTTTAGGCAAGAAATTTGAGATTTGAGGGGCTGGGGAGATAGCTCAGTAAAATAAGTCCTTGCCTGGCAAGTGTAAGGGCCTGAGTTCAATCCCCAGTTGCACCTAAAAAAAAAAAAAAAGAAAGAAATTTGAGATTTGAATATTAGCTATTTGGAGAAATATATCATAAGTACCTCATTCCTAAATGTAATGACCATGAGAAGAAAATACTGCAGAGAATGGCCTCCCAGTATATATATATATTTTTTTTTTTTTTTTGAACGGGGGATTGAACTCATCAGGCCCTTGCGCTTGCCAGGGAAGCGCTTATTCCACTGAACCATCTCCCCGGCCCCTAGTATTTCTTATAGTTATCATTACTATTAGTAGTGACTACCATTTATAGAGTTTTCCCTAAGCACCTGAGATGATAAGGACTTTATTGTGAGAGAGAAGTTTAGCCTTAATAGCGATCACCTATGCTCTGGCACAGTTGTAAATACTTTATATGAAATTAACTCCTTTATTCCTTATAGTAGCTCTGTAAAATATGCTATTATTATCTCCATTTTATGGATGAGGAATTTGAAGCTCATAGTGGTTAGGCAGCTTTTGCCACAGTCATCACTAGTAAATCACAGAGCTCTGATACAATCCAGTTAGCCTAGCCCTGGAGATCATTCTTTTTAACCATGGACCTTACTGTCTTGTTTGCCCATAATTACCCCTGGAGGAGGTTCAGAATATTGAATCTGGTCTTAAAACAGTATTATGGGTTATTACTATAGAATAGGCAGCTGTGAAGATCATTTGTTTCAACTGGTAATGACTGTGTGGAGCAAAGGCAGAAAACACAGGACACTGTCTTTTGGTGTAGCCTACTGCCTCTGAATTGCAAGTCTAGTTGGTCTTTTGCTATCATTTGTGATTTCCTCCTGTCATGTTCTGGGTTTTATTTAAATCATTTGATTTGAAATGTGGTTGAATTTTAACCATTAGTATGTAATTTCAGTCTTGTGAAATACCTTAACATATGCAGGTGTGGTGCCACATGCCTGCAGACAAGACTGTTCTGCAGTTTTAGCTACTCAGGTGGCAGAGGCACTAGGCTTGCAAGTTTGATGCCAGCCTGGGCAACTTAGTGTATCCTGTCTCAAAATTAAGAAAAAAACAAAACAATGACAACAAAAATACCCAGAAAGATCTGGAGGTGTAATTTAGAGCTCTTTGGGTTCAATCTCCAAATGTTCTTCTCCAAATAATAATAATGTGAGCTACTTAAAGCTATTCTCGATTATGGCATATGAGAATTTTTTATAAAAAGGTTTCTGTTTAGATTTACTCACTTTTTTGTTGTTGTTGTTGGGGGAGGGCTATTTTTGAGACAGGGTCAGGCTCTTTTTGAGACAGGGTCTCAGTGTGCAGTTCAGGCTGACCTTGAACTCTCTTTGTAGCCCACGCTGGCCTCAAACACACTGTGGTCCTCCTGCTTGAGCCTCCCAAGGGCTAGGATTACAGGCATGCAACACACACCCAGCTTCACTATTTAAACAGTGTTCCAAACCATAATTTCTTTTATGTACATATACTTTTTAAAACATTTTTGTTAGTACATGTGTATAGTATATTTATATTCCTTGATTTTTATTAGTATGTATATATAATGTGTTTACATTCCTTGAGGGAAATTGGTACGTATACACAACACATCTGATTTTCTAGATACTTTTTTTTTAGAACCGGAGATTGAACTCAGGCCATTGCGCTTGCCAGGGAAGTGCTTATTCCACTGAGCCATCTCCCCTGATTTTCTATATACTTTTAAATCAGACATATTCATTTGCTTTTTGTCTCTAGAGAAAATTCCAAGGAAAAGGATAAGACAGAAGGTACAACAGAAGAAACTGAAGAGAGAGAGCAGGCCACTCCTAGGGGGCGAAAGACTGCCAACAGTCAAGGACGCAGGAAGGGCCGAATCACCAGATCCATGACAAATGAAGCTGCAGCTGCCAGTGCTGCAGCTGCTGCAGCCACTGAAGAGCCTCCACCACCTCTGCCACCACCACCAGAACCTAGTGAGTAGGAAGAGTAATCTCCAGGTTTATTTCTTTAAATGGCTGTGCAGTGTTGGCATTTTGCCTGGAGGCATGGTTTATTTAACCATTTCCCAGTTACTACTGGAGAGTCAAGCTGTCTTCCTTGACACTAATACAGTGAAAAAAAAAAAAATGCATGTGCGTAGCATTTTTTTTTTTTTTTTTTATGCAAAGTTCTACTGGGCATAAGAATTTGAGCATAAGGGGCTGGGGAGATAGCTCAGCAGCGTAAGTGCCTGCCTGGCAAGCAAAAAGACCCAGGTTGAATCCTGGTCACATACGGTGCTGGTCCCAGAACTGGGTGCTGTGTCAGCCCCCAAACTGGACATAGTGGCACACACCTGTAATCCCAGCACTGGGGAGGCTGACATAGGAGTATCGCTGAGTCTGAGCTGTGTAGTGAGACCATGTACTGGATGGATAGATGGATGGATGAATGAATTTTAAAAACCCTAAAAGCATTTGAGCATGATATTCTGTCTTAGGAAGTATTTCATTAGTGTAGTCTATTAATGATAAGTATCACCAAAAGTAGTTTCTCTCTCCCTCCCTCCCTCCCTTCCTCCCTCCCTTCCTTCCTTTGGTATAGTTTCTTGCTACACAGTTCAGACTTGTAGTAATCCTCTTGTCTCAGCCTCTCCAGCACTGGGATTAAAGGCATGCATCACCACACCCAGTTTCTGTGGCCAGTATGGCACTCCTGGGGTTCCTATACCGGCACTGCATGTGCTACTAGGGATCGATCTCAGATCCTTGCACTTGCCAGGCAGGCACTTAGACATCCATGCTATCTCCCCAGCCCAGTGGCACCATTTTTATAATATGAAGATTGAAAGACAGGACATTAGAGGAATGAAAAGAACAATGTGGGGGAACTAAGTAGAGAGGGGTATGAAAGGTTTGGGAAGAATGGTTCTTGTTTCAGCTTTATCTTGATTTGCTTACAAAGGAGCTGCCAAAGTAAGACTGCTCTGTAGACTTCTGCTTTAGGAAGATAAGTTTGATGGCAGTTGTAAAGGCCAGTTTAAAGAAGCTAAGGGCTAGAGGCAGGAGGACATTCTGTTTATGAAGGGGTTGGATTCATGAGATTAGAGTTAATACACATCATTGGATGTGAATAGTAAATGACAAGGAGAATTAAAAAAAAATCACTCTAAGGTGTCTTAATAATTAAGTGACTGGGTGGGTGGTGCTGCTGTTGCAACAGGTGGCTTATTGGAAGAGTACACCATAGACCTCATATTTTCAGGTTTTTTTTTTTTTTTTTTTAATGAAGCAAAGTCATAGTACATGATCCATCTGTGCCTACTGGATGCCAGATGCTGAGCAATGAATAAAGGGAGTATAAAGAAGAGGAGAGGGGCTATGCCTGGACAGGAAGGAAGAGGGTTGTTTTTATTTTCATACTCAGGAGACAAGGAATGGAGACCTGCTGAGTCGGAAGGCCCTGGGTGAAGTGGACTTTCTCAAACTAAGCTAAAGGCATTCAAACAGGTAGATGTGGCTGGAGCTCTTGAGAACATTGAGAAGTGTGAAACTTGCATGTCTAGTTGATGGAAGAGACATTTAGAGCATCCGGTTTTCATAGTTTCTTTGCTAAGTGCTTTAAGCAGACTTTATACCAAAGGAGTAAGTTATAGTGAATGATTTAACTTCGTTTTTCTCTGCTTGACTGGATTTCCTCTTTATTTCAGTTTCCACAGAGCCTGTAGAGACCTCTCGATGGACAGAAGAAGAAATGGAAGTTGCTAAAAAAGGTAAATTATAGTACTGTAGTTTGAACTTCTAGAGTTGCTTTAAAAAAGAAAAAAGAATGATTAATAAGGAGGCAACTTTTTTTAATTGGGAAAAAAGAGTTCCTCTGTAAAGGTAAATAGGATATTGAACTGATAAGGATAGATACTAGACTTGATCTTAGCCAAAGGGCCGAGAAACGATGGTAAATAGGATAGTACAGCAAATTTAAGAAGCTTTTGATGATGTGATACCCAGGAAGGCATTCTACTTAGGAGGGTTTTAAGATTCTTGATATAGCTTTATTTTGACTATCATTAGAAATAAGTCGTTATTTTCACTGTTTTAGAATAGTTGTGAGTATATCTAGTGAAATTTTTGAACAAATTTTGATATAAAGCATATTTCTGTTATTTTAAAGTTGAATTAAATAGAATAGTAACTACTTTCTCAGTTTGGATTTGGGTAAGTCTTTGATTATGAATACTAAGAAATTGCACTGTGAGTCCAAGGACAGAATATATCTTGTGTTTGGGCAGAGAAAAGTTTGAGGTCTATTTCTGCTACTTTCATAACTGTGTGGTCTTCATCTTGCTGTGAAACTTTATGTGTCTTCTGTTTGTCTCTTTTTGCTTATTAATGTATAATTTGAAATTGAACTAGAATTTCTGATAACATCAGTAATTAATGATTGATTTTAAGAAAGATTAACTCTTGGGTGGTTGTATTAGTCCTTTTTTCATTGCTGTGACAAAATACCTGACACCTGCACCTTAAAAGATGAAGGGCTTATTTTGGTTCATGGTTTCAGAGCATTCAGTTCCTGGTTGACTGGATACAAGGCAGAAATACTATGTTGGAGGGCATGGTGGTAGAGGAGAGCTGTTGAACCCATGACAGTCAGAAAGCAGAGAGCAAGGAAGAAGTGGGGAGTTGGGGAAAAGAATATGCTCGCCCAGCTCATGCAGTAGTGACTCACCCCTGCAGCCAGGCCCTCCCTCCTAATAGCACATGAGCTGTTGAGCATGAGTACAGAATGAGTATAGCATGTCCTTGTCCATTCACTTTCCTATTTATGGGTCTTTAGGGTGATGTTTTAGATCTAAACCATAACAGTAGTTAAACATTTACTTTCTAGTTCTAAATAGAAATTATTTCATATAGCTGACTTTTTGATAACACATTTTATTGGCATTTAAAAAAATATTTAGCAGATAATGATACATCTCAGTATCAGATATGTTAACTTTACAAAAATAAAGCATTTTAAGCTATTCTATTTTGAAAATACTTTTATTTAAACTACCATGAACGGCAAATACTAAATTTATATAGTTTTGAAAAGATAATCATTTTGCTATTTTCATTATTGAAGAAACTACTTGTATTAATCTTGAATAGATAGTATTTGTTAATAGATGAAATTTGTACTGAGGATCCCTGCTTGGGTACCACTGTGTGTGAGGAATATCTTGAGAGCTTTCTACATATTTACATGTCATTTATATACTTGCAGTCTTTACACACATGTATATGTGCTTACGTAGGTTTCTGTAATAAATTGGGATTATCTTAAATACTAGTTAATTTTTTTGAGGGCATTACTTCAATGTGAATTGGCTGACAAATGCTGATTATAAGTAAAGGTTTGTATCTCTTAGGTCTTTGTGTTAATTATTTATATATATGTATATTATTATTACATGTTTGAAAGGAATTATGTTTGCATTCATTGTAGGGAGTAAATACATGTACATATCAAGCCGTAATTCTTTTTATCTCTCCCATCTCTCCCAGTTTGCAAAAGACCTGGCTCCATGTTTCCTATTGTCTTTTATTTTGTTGTTTTAGTTATTAGTATTTTGTGTTTCCCACATAATAGAAACCATGTGATTTTTAATCGTTTGAGTCTGATTTAATATAACATTATGGTCTCAAGGTGGGTCTGTTTTCAACAGTGACTCAAATTTATCCTTTATGGCAGAGTAATGCTTCATTGTGTATAAATACCACATCTCTTTTATCCATTCTTTGTTGATTGGATATATAGGTTACTTCCAAGAATTGTTTGCTATTGTAAACATTGGTTTGCATGTATCTGTATTACTATGTTTTTACCTTTTCTGAGAAGATACTTAGTACAAGAAGAGCTGGGCTAATGGAGTTTCAGTTTTCAGTTTTTGAGGCATCTCTTGTGATTTCCATAGTGTTTGTACCAGTTTACATTTCCACCCTAAATAATTTAACAAGAGATTTTTTCCCCCACACTCTTGTCATCATTTGTTATTGTTTTTTTTGGTTTTTTTTTGATGATGGCCATTTTTTCTGGAGTGAGGTGGATTTTTTTTTTTTTTTTTTTTTTGAGTGAGATGGAATCTTAATGTTGTTTTAATTTGTATTTCTCTGATGGCCAGATAAGTTGAATTTTTTTATATATTTATTGGCCATTTTACGTCTTCAGAGAAGGTCTGTTTATTTCATTTGCCCAAATTTTGATTGGTTCTTTTAATAATAATAATTTATATTTGACTACCTTGTCATTGATAGGCTGACCCCAAAGGTCTACAGGTACTTAATTGATATTTGAGCTATTAACTTAAGATTCACAATTATCCTAGCCTTCTGGCTAGGATATGTAGAAAGGTTTTGGACTAGCCTTTTCATTCCAGAGCATGTTTGAAATTTGTGGTGAGAAATACAATGCCTGTATGTCAGTATGTATTCCAGTAAATGTTGAAATATATCAGTAAGTAGTTAATAGCATAATGTTAGTGTTAATTTTTATGAAAACAATGATCAAGTTGATTTATCTTCTGTTTGCTTAATCAGATGACTGACTTTTCAACTAATGCTTGATCTGTTTTGAAAATACAGGCCTAGTAGAACATGGTCGTAACTGGGCAGCAATTGCCAAAATGGTGGGAACTAAAAGTGAAGCTCAATGTAAAAACTTCTATTTTAACTATAAAAGGAGACACAATCTTGACAACCTCTTACAGCAGCATAAACAGAAAGTGAGTATAACAGTGGTAGTAAATCTTTTTGCTTTTTACTTTGAGTATTTTTAAGCTTAGAGTTAGGTTTTAAAAGAAGCTTTCTTTGTATCTTGTATTTTTGCTTGTACATTTACTTATAAGAGGCATGCTAGCTTTTCAGTACAAGTTAACTGTTTCTCTTATAAGTATACAAGGAAGAATTTTCTGTTTATAGTAATGAGGGGAATGAGTTCTTTTGAATTAGTGTAGACTGAATTTGAAAAATACATTTTTAAAAAAATGAGCCTTGAGTTTTGTTATTTTATTTTTCTGTATTTAGTACAGGGCCTACAGGGTCTCACTACACAGATCGGACTCCTAGTAATACTTCTGTTTTCAGCTTCCCAAGTGCTGGGATTACAGGCGTGGGCCACCATGTGTAGTCTCAGTCGCCATCTTAGCATGCTCCAGGGGCAGGGCAGGCCAGGGATCTAACCTCCAACCCCTGTGTCTGTATAAGCAGGCACTTTAATCCGCTGAGCTGTTTGGCTGGCCCTGACAGATAGATAGATAGATGGATGGATGGATGGATGGATGGATGGATGGATAGATAGATAGATAGATAGATAGAGATATAGATAGAGTTGTTTGGTGTTTTTTTGTTTTTGTTTTTGTTTTTTTTGTGGAACAGGGGATTGAACTCAGGCCCTTGCACTTACCAGGCAAGCACTTATTCTACTGAGCCATCTCCTCGGCCCCCAGATATATTTTTGAATTGAAAACTTCGGGTAAAGTTCTGTTGATCATGTTAAATGAGTAGATATGGTATATTTAAAAAAATCTTTCTAGAGAAAGATTATGTAAAATAAAAAGGGCAAACAATATAAGATTACTGAAAATTCCTTGACAACAGATATCCAGTATAATGGTTCTTAGAGCTTTTTAGCAAGTCTGTAAGGTAAAAACTTTTCATAAAAATATTTAATGTTAATTTCTCTTTTTCCAGAGTTGACATTTACATTTTTTCCCATAATTTTATTGAGAATCAAATCGCAATGAGACAGTTTCAAATCAAATTAGTAGGACAGTTTCAATAATTAACACATTGCATACTGTCTTCCAAGTGGTTATTTGTTGTACAAGATTCAGACATGATATCCTGTTTACAACTGCTATTAGAACAAATCCCTCTATTCATTGAATTAAGAAAATGTAGCTATATATCTATCCTAACCATTTTGAATACACTGACATTTACATTGATAATATCAAAGCAGCTGTGGGTAAAACTCCTTACACCAATCATGGGAGAGTACCAAGTGTGATTGTTGGTACTGAATATATTTTTCATCTTGAGCATTTCCACTTTTTGTCTTTTTTTTTTTTTTTTTTTTTTTTTTTAAGGAAAAGTCAATTTGACTGGATGTGGTGGCAAATACCTATAATCACAAGACTTAAGAGGGTAAGGCAAGGGCCAGGCAGATAGCTCAGTGGACTAAAGCGCCTGCTTAGGCAGGCACAGCAAGGGAGTTCGATCCCTAGCATGCTGTGCTGGCCCCACCCCCAAGGCACACTGAAACAGTAATTGGTTCGAACCTGTAATCCCAATGCTTGGGAGGCTGAAAACAGGAGAAACACTATGAGTCTGATCTGTGTAGTGAGACCCTGTAGACCCTGTACTAAAATACAAAAAAAAAAAAAAAGAGGTTAAGGCAAGATAATTGTTGTGAGTTCAAGTCTAGCCTGGACTATACTAATTTCAAGGGTGGCCTAGTATACATAGCAAAACCCTGTTTCAAAACAACCACGACAACAAAAAGAAAGGCTATAAGGCTATTTTGAGGGCTGGCGATGTAGCTAAGTGGTAAGAGCACTTGCCTGATGCAAACAAGGGCCCTGGGTCCTGGCTTAGTACAGAAGGAAAGAGGGGGTAGGGAAGGGAGGGAAGGAAAGAGGGAGAAGAGCGAGAATAAAATGTTAGTTTTGGTTAAGAATATCCTTGATGGAAAACCAATAGTAATAATTTTACTAAATATTGACCCTTGAGTATACCTCTTTTTTTTTTTAATATTTATTTTTTTTTATTTATTACATTTATTTATTGTGTGTGTGTGTGTGTGTGGCCAGCTCAGCCCACCAGGGGGCGGGGCTGGCTGGCATGTGGTGCTGGAGGATTGAACCGCGGTCCTTGTGCTTTGCCAAGCTTGTTTCATGTAGGTGCTTTAGACCACTGAGCCATCTCTCCAGCCCGAGTATAGCTCTTTTTAACTAAGCAATGGAATGAGAAATATACATAAAGCCTTTTTCTCTCTATCAGAGTATAATAGTTTTCTCAAGGAAAAGTACTTTTGCGCCTATGAGTTCTGTGTGAACTAGATTTTTTTACAATTTTGATATTTGACAAAAAATTTTCTGACAATAAATGTTCTATCTTTCAAAGAAAATAACTTAGAGTATTTATTGCCACTTTCAAATTTTGTGCTTTCAAACAAAAATTAAAATTAGGGAAAATATGTGTCCCTGTCCCTTATGTGTGTTAGTTTTCTGTTTGTGTGTTTATGTTTATTTGGAGACATGGTCTCACTGTGTAGTTCAGGTTGGTCTTGAGCTCATGGTGATCCTCCTGCCTCAGCTCTTAAGTACTGGCATTATAAGTGTGCACCATTGTGCCCAGCAATGTTTGTTAGTTTTCAGTTACTGTGAGAAAATGCCAGAGATACCAACAAAAAGGAAAGGTTATTTTGCCTCAGTTTTTGAAGGTCTTTATGGTCGGTTGACCCCATTGCTTTTAGGTCTGTGGAACAGTAGCACATCATGGCAGGAACAGTGGTGGACACAGCTTATTCTCCTCAAGGCCAGAACAAGAAAAGAGGGAGAAAGGACTTGGTGTCCTTCCAGGGAATGTTTCCAGTGACCTAAATCCTCCTGCTGAGTCAGCTGCATTTCTAAGGGTTTAACCTCCAGATAATATCATGGGCTGGGAATCAAGCCTTTTAGACCTTTGGAGTCATTACATAAACTTCTAGTAAATGACCTTAACATCTTCTCATTACAGACTTTTCTGATGAGATCTGAAGTAATAAAAGCATTATATTTTATAATGAAATATATTCATGTTTGAAAAATCTGCCTAAGATCTCAGTTTCTTTTTCTTTTATTATTTTAAGGTTCGGGGCATTAAACCCAGGGCCTTGCTCATGTTATGTAGTCACTGCATTGTCAGGCTACGTCTCAGAATTTTTGAAATGAACAATTCATGATATAACATTGGATGTCTTTCTGGTCGATTAACCCCATTGCATTTAGGTCTGTGGAACAGTAGCACATCATGGCAGGAACAGTGGTGGAGAAAAGATTAAGCTCTATTGTTAAAAGATTAGAACTTTTCAGAGAAGTTGAGGAGTCCATGAGAGAGGATGAAGAGGGACTGGGTGAGAAAGTATGTTTCAGGATTTGGCTGTTGTTACGGAGCCAGTGAGTTCAGAATCTTACGAGATCAGGTCAGTTGGCAAACTGGAGACCTACGGAAAAGTTGGAGTTGGAATCTAGAGGTGGTCTGGGCAAAGTAACCTAGCAAACTTGACATAGAATTAGCAATACAAATAGTTATGCAGATAGTTATAATTAACATATAGGGACAACAGCCTTCAATTGATTACCTAGAGTATTTTATCTCTTTAAGAAAGATTCAGAGTTGTTGTTTTGTTCATTGAGTCAGGATCTCACTATGTAGTTCATAGTTCTCACCTTGTAGTTCAGTATGTACCACGTAGCTCAGGCTGGCCCTGAACTCCCAGGGATCCTCCAGCCTCAGCCTCCCAAGTGCTAGGATTACAGGCATGTGTCACTACACTGGGGGATAATAGTATTTTTATGGAATCATTAGTAAATTAATTTTGAAGAATTTAAAACATAAGGATGTATTGTTTATAGCTACATTAGGTTAAAAAAATAGGATATGTAATTACATAGGGCTATCCAAGGTGTTTTTCTATGTATACATAAAGATTTGTATACAGCTATATTCAGGTCAAAATCTAAAAGGAAATGTACCAGTATGCTTAAAATCTCTAGCTGTTTGAGTTATGGATAGTTATTTTTTTAAATATGATTTTCTAGGCTTTCCTTATTTTAATTGTATATGTTACTTTTATTAGAAAATGTTATTTTAATTAAAAAGATAAACTAGAGAGGAGAGAATGATACAGATTTGTAATGATAAAAATGGCTATTTGTGTTGCCCTAAAACTTGGACTTTAGCTAAAACTTCTGTCAAGCACAATCTTGTCTAGTATATTTGTCAGAATTCTACACTATTTCAAAAATGAAAAAATTTGATTTTTTTTGAAGTTACATAAATCATCAATAATACCATTTCCATCTTTTAGACTTCACGTAAACCTCGTGAAGAGCGAGATGTGTCTCAGTGTGAAAGTGTTGCTTCCACTGTTTCTGCTCAGGAGGATGAAGATATTGAAGCCTCCAATGAAGAAGAAAATCCAGAAGATAGTGAAGGTATCTCAAAATCTTGAATTTCATTGTAACTTCTGCTATTCCCATGTATGTAATTTTTATTTTAGTCAAATGTTTTTGTAGAAATTACTTGTAGTGTTTTTAGGGCATTGTCTTTAAACTTAATGTATTTATTAATTTGCTCAACTAGTATTTATGTAGCACTGAAGGTGGTCCAGGTGCTACAACCAGAAGATTTTGGCAGTGATGGTCCTATTTCAGATACAAAGTGCCAACATCAATAAAAATGTGTGTGTGTCTTTATTGTTCCTAAGTGCTCTTGTTCATTTTGTATCTTAAGTTATATTGCCATTTTACCCTTGAGGTTGGTTTATTTTATATTTTTATAAAAATTCATATATTTCATGTTAATGCTTTCTCATAACAAGAATTAGTGACCCTAAAAATGCTGATAGAAAAATAACCCAGGAAACTCTTAAGAAATAAAATTGCTTTGGTCACTTAAATCAGTGAGAATTTCCTAAAAATAATGTTTTCCTTGAGCTTTTGTTAGTTAAAGGGTATAAAAAGCACCTAATTTCATTTTCCATTACTGTTAACCTTTCTGTGGGTTTTCTTGACTTGACTATTGCTGTTGTAAGGATTCTCATGTGACTCTTAGTAGCTCATTATATATTAAGTATGTTCATGTTTTATATATGAATATCTTAGTTTTTTAATTACCAGAATTTAATTTATATATAATAGAGCTGCTTATTTTTTTGGGGGTGGGTGCTTTTTAGGAAGCTCTACACTTTCCAGATTTAGAAATACTAAATTTCTTTCATATATAGATTAAACTTGTCCTTTAAACTTAAATTTTATCTTGAAATTACAATAAATAAAATTTTTTTGTGAGGTTATTTTGAAAGGAAGATAATTGTTAAGTGTAAAGAGAAAATTGGAGCAGGCTCACTCTGCATAATGAAACAAATGATCGAAGAGAATTTGGTAACTTCATGGTATTTCCAGGGGGTTTGTTCATTGCAGGGGGTTTGTATCTGGTTGCTAGTATTCCTCTGAGGTTATAAATATAAATAAAACCCTCACCATAGTCCCTTTTGTCCACAATGTCAGTTATTTCCACTTAGCACTGTCTGAAAGTGTGAAGTGAAATTTTTTTTTTATTTTGAAAAAAAAAAAAAAAAACTGCATCCAGCTAGCTTTTATTATGATACACTGTAGTTCTCTTACTTCACTAGTTATTGATGTTAGTCTTTCATGTATTTACTTCATAAATTAAACCTTACCCTAGTTATATGTATAGTACAAAGCATGGTAAATAGAGGGTTTGATATCATCTTTTGTTTTGGGTGTCTGCTTAGGGTCTTGGAATGTGTTCCCTGTGAATAAAAGGGATCAACTGTATGGCTCTTCTTGGACTGCCACAGTAGAATACCATAGCCTGGGTGGTTTAAACCAGTGAAATTTATTTTTATAGTTCTGCAGGCGGTTGTCGTAAGTCTGTTAAATTTATGACCATAAAAGCCTATATATAGATGAGGTAGCAGATTGTTAAAAACTTTGAGTATCAAAAAGTGTCTTTTTTCTGTTCTGTTTTCTTCTTATTACTTTGTCTTAGTATGAAGGCTTTTCTTCAGGTATTGTCATATATTAACACCATACTTTTCCAAGTATGGTACAGAATGTCCTCAACTAAATAACAAGCTTCATTCAGGGAAAATGTAAGTTGGATTTTTTAGGTATACCCTGTTCACCCTGTTTTTTTTTCTTCAAATCTTCAGACTTTTAGCTTTTTCTTGAATGAGCATTAAGCTGAATGAGACTTGACATTGGTGCTGGTCCAGAATCCACACGCTAATTGTATGTGCTTCCTCAGTGAGCATATGAATCCACACACTAGGAAGTTTCTCCATCTCTATCACTTTACCATGCTTTGGATATTGTTGACTTCACTGGCACAGAAGATTAACATATTCCATAAACTTGTCCTTTTTCTTTAGAATTGTCACAATTGTTGAACAATAAGAATAATGTCTACCCTTGTTTCTCTTCAGTCAATCTCTCAATTATATTCACTTTCATTTCTATGGTTATTTCTTTGCTCCTCTTAGCAGCACCCTCTACATCACCAGTGCTTTTCCTCTTGCTTCCAGACATCCTAGGCTCTGACTGAGCCCTGTGCTAGTGCATACTATTGCACTGTATAGTCAGCTCTCGGCAGCACAACTCTCCTAGTGTCCAGCAGACACACGTGCGACCTTCATGATCTGTTTTCGTTTGTGAATGTTCATAAGGCGAGGCCCATTTGTAGTTGTGAAAGTTCACAACTCTAATGTTTGTACATGGGGGGCTTCCTGTATTAAGGTAATATGTCCCCTGATCCAGTGTAGGGTGGCCTGGTCACATTCTGTGCAGTCCTACATGTGGTTATGCAGTGACATCTAGAATAGTACCCTATTAATAAGAAATGAACTTGGCACTAGAATTGTGAGCTTTCTTTATTTTTGACTTAGCTTCATTTCGAAAATATCAGGGAGAAAGTTAGTGCTATTTATATCACCTGTGATTCCATACTTACTGTTCATCTTAATGAGACACTACTGATGCACTGTTTATTGTGTGGCAAGACTCTTGACAATGAAGGAATAAAGGCAACTCCTGAAGAGAAATTCCTGTATCTTTTCTTAAAATACACCTGACTCTGAGTATCTCTTCAGGATTAGAGAAATTAAATCAGAAAGCCTGAAACTTCACCAAACTTTACTTTTGTGCTCCTGCCCCCCTCCCTTCCCCCTCTCCTCCCCTGCCCCCTTGCCTCCCTGCCCCACCGCCCCACCCTCGCCCACCCTCGCCTTCCCCCTGCCCTCCATTTTGCTTTGTTTCCAGTACTGGGAATTGAGCCAAGGATCTTGGGCATGCTAGATAAGAGCACAACCAGCCCTTTATTTTGAATGGGGCCCACTAAGTTTCCCAGATTGACCTTGAACTGTGACCCTCCTGTCTCAGCCTCCTGAGTAGATGGGATTACAAGTATATGATACTATATTCAGTCACTTATCTATTCTTGTTCTAAATCACACTTAGAGGGTTTGCTTGTTTGTTTGTTTATACTAGGAATCCAACTCAGGACCTCACACTTGCCAGGCAGGCACTGTGCCACTGACCTATATTACTGGCCCCTGGAGGGTTTTTTGTTGTTTGGGGAAAAAATACATTTTGCTGGTGCTTTGAAAAACATTATGCCTTAGAAATATTTGTACTTGGACTGGGGATATAGCCTAAGTGCCTGCCTGCCAAGTGCAAGGTTCTGAGTTCAATCACCAGTGCCATAAATAAATAGATAAATAGATAAATAAATAAATGAATAAATAGATTTTTCTTTTTTCTTTTTCTTTTTTTTTTTTTTTTTTTCATTTTTTTGGTGGAATGTGGGCTTGAACTCAGGCCCTTGCACTTGCCAGGCAAGCTCTTATTCTTCTGAGCTGTCTCCCCGGCCCAATAAATAAATTCCTACTCTTTTGTATCTTGGAAATGATTTAAAATGTGCTTGTATTAAACGATAATCATCTTCACAATCACTGATGTGCCTTCTGATAGTTAAGTGACTTGTTTGCTCCTGGTTTGGGGGTTTCCATCACTACATAAAGAAATAAAGGTTAAGTCAGGCTTTTTGTTAGCTTTTCATATTTTGCGGTTTTTTGTTATGGGTTTTTTTGTTTTTTGTTTTTTCCTGCGAAACCGGGATTGGACTCAGGCCCTTGCACTTGCCAGGGAAGCACTTATTTCACTGAGCTAGCTCCCCAGCCCCGAGCCTTTCATATTTTGATAGCATGTTTTGCTAATGGTAATTGCTATCACATTTAAAAAACTTAGTACTTTTGAGGTTGTCTTTATTTTTGAGACTTGCATGCTTATCTGAACTCTATGTTCATACATCTATGTACTTAGTACTTTTACTTGACTACTTAAAAGTCATCTCTACATTAATGTCCAAAGCAAACCTTGTCTCCCTGTGATCACAAGCTGCTTCTCCCTCCAGTCCTTCCCTGTCATTTATTGTATTTTTGTAATTGTAACTCACTCATATCCAGTGCATGGTCCAGTAGCATCTCTTGTGAGCTTTTCCTTAAACGTGCTTTTCAGAATTGGATCTCTTTTCCCTGGCTCCATTAATGCTACCTTGGTTCTGTGCCACTGTCCTCTCCATTGCATTAGCTTCTTATTTGGCCTCCTTGCTTCTTTTGGTTTCAGAATGGTTTCTTTTCTTCCATAAAGCAGCCAGATAACTTCCTACCCCAAAAAAAAAAAAAAAGGTTTTTTTTTTCCCAGTCCCAAATGCTACAGTACTTTCCCAATTTTTATTTTTTTATTTTGATACAGGGTCTCACTGTACAGTTCAGACTCATAGTGATCCTCCTGTCACAGCCTTCCCAGTTACAGGTGTGCACCACCCTACCTGATTTTGGGCTGGTGTGGCTCACCTGGGATGCCGGGGTTGGCCCAGGATGTGGTACTGGGGATCGAACTTGTGTTCTTGTTCTTGCCAGGCAGACGCTTAGATCACTGAGCTATCTCCCCAGCCCCGACTTTTTTTTTTTTTTTTTTTTTTTTTTTTGAGTTAGGTTCTCACTATGTAGTTACGGCTGGCCTTGAACTCACAGCAAACCTCTTGAGTGCTGGGGTTACAGGTTTGTGCCACCATGTTTAGTTCCAAATTTAAGAATAAAATTCCAAGATCTTTCTACAGCTGATGAGGACCTACATGAATTGGCCTTTGTGTATCTGTATGAACTTTTTCTTCTTCAGTGCTAAGGGTTGAACCCAGGGCCTTCATATTGCGCTATACCCCCAGCTCTCTTTGTTTTTTGAGGAACGGTCTTAGTAAATTGATAAATTGACAAGGCTGAACTTGAATTTGTGATCCTCCTGCTTTAGCCTTCCAGTGTGCTCAAATGAGACACTATGCTTGGCTTCTCATTTGCCTGTTTGCTAAAAGCTTTTCTGCTTGCTCCCTCTGCTCCCACCATACAGTTACCCTTTCTGTTCTAAGAAAAACAGTTTCAACCGGGTGCCTTGGCACTTTCTGATCTCTCTGCCTGGAATGCTTTTCCCTGTGTCCCTGGCTCCCTGTTATACTTTCTTCATGTCTCTGTTCAGGTGTCACTCTGCCCCCATCTTCATGTACTCTTTAGTTTTATAGTCACTCACTGATTATGTCAAATATTTATTCATAGTTTTACTCTATGAGACCATATAATTTTTTTTCTGTACCTCAGACAGTCTCCTGCAAATATTAGATTCTTTATACATATATGACTCAATAAAATAATGAATTTATAAGGTTTTAAAAGTAGTTTGTCAGTTCATCAGCTGAGTGTGGTGGGGCACACCTATAATCGTACACTTGGGAAGCTGGGGCAGGAGTATGGGAGGCTGAGGCTGGAGATCCTTGTGAGTTTAAGGGCAGCCTGGGTTAAAGGCCACCCAAACCCTGTCTCAAAAAGACAAAAAAAAAAAAAAAGAGAAAAAAAAGGAAAGAAAGAAAAAGGAGAGGGTTTTATTAAAAAATGTTTTGCATGTTGTGCTGTTCCCACCCCTGGGCAGGTAAGCTGAGTCGACCACAAAGACCGGGCATTGTGGTGCTCACCTGTAATACCAGTGCTGGGGAGGCTGAAAATAAAGAGATCACTGTGAGTCCAAGCGGTATAGTGAGACCGTGTACCAAATTTAAAAAAAAAAAAAATGTTTTGCAGATGGTCACATCATTTGTAAAATTTTTCCCATGCAAATGGTAATTTATGATTTTGTAGTTTCAGGTTTCTAATTTCCTTAAGATACTTTTCCATGTTTTGAAAGGTTTTTATATATATGTATCTTAAGTCAACATTCCAAACATCAAAACACTTCCATCTAGAATTTTTTTTTAAATACAAGGCCTATGTTTTGATATCCAGCTAAAGAGCCAGTTCTAACAGAAATGCTTCCTTAAGTAAGTCATCCTTTATCCAGTAATTTAAAATATTACCATTAATGTAGCTTAATTTTCTTGTATACATTAGGATCTATTCCTGTACATTGTTTTGTATCATTGATATACCTTGTCACTATAGTAGTTCTAAGCATGTTTTAATTCACTGATCTTATGGTCAGTTTGAATATTTAGGCAAGCTGTCCCATACTTTAGTACTTTTAATAATTTTCTAGGACTTTCTAAAGGACTTATTTATATAAACTGTTGTTTCATTTAGTTTAAGAAAATGTTCTGAATCATTTGGATTCTCAGTGCAAGTGTATTAAATATATAATATATATTAATTTTAGGGAGACATACTTGAGAAAATCTAAAATGTTTCTGCTGCAGTGAATATCTCTATATGGTTTATAACTATGACAAAAAGCTCAAGGGTCTTGCAATACAGGAAAGTTTCAGTAAACTTAAGGCCTAGTTCTGTACAACATTTGTTCAGTTTGGATTTCAGGCAATATTTGAGTCTATTTGCCAGGCACAGTCCTTATCTCAAAGACTTAAGTATTAATCAGAGTATATTATCTCTGTCCACATGGATTTATAGCCTAGTGGAAAACATAGCCAAGACTCAAATAATTTTGAATTCACGTGTTAAGAGCTTTAGTAACACAATTTAACTTTGTTCAGGAAGCCACACAGTGCGTTTCAAGCATGTGATACTTGAGGTGGAGTGCAGAGGAAATCTATTACAAAAGGCATTAAAATAAAAATCTGTGAAATAATGTTCTAGAGCTTTGTTTTCTAATATGTTAGGCACTAGCCCCATGGCTGTTAACTCTTGAAATGTTGGTAGTACAGATTGAGATCTGCAAATGTAAAATATACATCAGATTTTGAAGACTTAGTACTAATAAAAGGTAAAATATCCTATGACTTACTTTCTGTATTGGTAATAGTAATATCTTTTATAGGAATGGATTTTGTGTACTTCTGTTGCAGTTTTTTTTTCGTTTTTCAAATTTCAAAATATTTTTAGATTTTAAAACCTTTATAATCTCAGTTTTGGGGGTGTCAAGATAATTTAATCTTTCACTTTCACAGAAAACTCTAGCTTTCCCAGTGGCCATGAATACATCAGTGAGGTCATCAAAGGAGTATAATTCATCCTAAACAGCCACTTTCAAGCATGGTTTCTGTTACCACCTGAAACATGTTCATTATCAGATTTTTATGCTGTATCATTATCTTTAAGGTGCTGAAAATAGTTCTGATACAGAAAGTGCTCCTTCTCCTTCACCAGTTGAAGCTGTCAAGCCCAGCGAAGACAGCAGTGAAAATGCTGCTTCCCGAGGAAACACTGAACCTGTGGCTGAGCTCGAGACTACCAGTGAACCTGCACCAGCTGTATCTCCCTCCTCAGCCATGCCAAGTACAAAACTGGCTGAAAGTGAGAAGGTGGAAACCCAGGCAGATGACAGCATCTGTGTTGAGACTACAGAGCCAATGGATGTAGACCACCAGGAGCACAGTGCTGAAGCAGATTCTGTTCTTGATCCCCCAACTACTACCAAAGCAGACTCTGTAGATGTGGAAATGGGCATCCCAGAAAACAGTGCATCTACAGGTGAAGGAGATACCAAAGAAGGAGACTTGGAAAGAGGTAGTGAGAAAACAGAGCCTAAGGATGAAGAGTTGGTGGTGGCTCAACAGATAAGTACACAGAGGCCTGAGCCCCAGTCAGACAATGATTCCAGTGCCACCTGCAGTGCTGATGAAGATGTGGATGGAGAGCCTGAGAGGCAGAGGTGAGACTCATCTTTTCTGCTGTGATGGTTGCTAATCAAGTCACAAAATGGTGCTATCTTCAGGATGAGTCCTGTTCAGATGTAGGCAAATTTCAGGTCTGTATGTTTTCATTTTATTTTATTATAATTTTAAAAAATTCTTGGTTTGTGAGACAAGAGTCTTATTGTGCATTCCAGGAGGGTCTTGTAGCCCAGATTAGCTTTTTTTTTTTTAAAAAAATTTTTTTTTATTTATTTGAGAGAGAGAGAGAGAGAG